ACAGTTATAAGATGATATAATCACGCACATGAGTGGCACGTACACAAGAGCAGAGGATTAAAACACTGTACACAGTTATAAGATGATATAATCACGCACATGAGTGGCACGTACACAAGAGCAGAGGATTAAAACACTGTACACAGTTATAAGATGATATAATCACGCACATGAGTGGCACGTACACAAGAGCAGATGAACAATATGTACATCACAGTTAAAACCAATAAAATACCCCAAAATACATCATCAAACTAACAAGAATAAAATACTCTGTCCATGGACATTGAGTGACGATGACAGAAGCACCAATACTAGATATACAACAATAAAACCATTCGGGAGAGTTTGTGGAGAAGGGAAATAGACTTAATGAGCTTGTTATTGAAAAAACACATAAAAGAATTGTCCAAAAGATTAAAACAGTCTAATATGCTGAGTAAAGCAAACTTGATAAAATTGGTATGAAAATCGACCATTAAAATAGTTCCACTTTGATTTTAGCAGAGTTCGGAAGACACACATGTAAAAAACATAATATGTTAATGATAAAAACATTTTGATTTCTATATCATTTTGACACAGTAATGAAGTATGTTTGGTAAAACCTGAGACATATCCTTATCAAAAGTTCAGATATAAAAGATGTAAATTATCTTTCATCGAACTTAACAGATTTATCTTCCATATAGCTAAGACATAATAGCTATATCTTGCATAAATAGCTAAGACATAACAGATATCACACAAAGAAACCTTTCAAAATTCCCCACTAGACCACAGGACCAGTGAGTGGACAATAATTAGTGGTCCTGTCTGTACATCACTGGTCCAAAATAACATTCATAGATTTATTTAACTATCAATACAAACTTCACTGGCCACCAGGACCACTGCAAACTTATCAATTCATGGTCCTGATGAATTTTTATTAGCAACAGGACCAGCGAAATTTCAAACACTCAGATATATCTTGCATATTTAGCTTAGTTACAGCAGCTATATCTTGCACATATAGCTAAGACACAACAGATAGATCTTGCACATATAGCTAAGACACAACAGATAGATCTTGCACATATAGCTAAGACACAACAGATAGATCTTGCACATATAGCTAAGACACAACAGATAGATCTTGCACATATAGCTAGCTAAGACACAACAGATAGATCTTGCACATATAGCTAAGACACAACAGATAGATCTTGCACATATAGCTAAGACACAACAGATAGATCTTGCACATATAGCTAAGACACAACAGATAGATCTTGCACATATAGCTAAGACACAACAAGATAGATCTTGCACATATAGCTAAGACACAACAGATAGATCTTGCACATATAGCTAAGACACAACAGATAGATCTTGCACATATAGCTAAGACACAACCGATAGATCTTGCACATATAGCTAAGACACAACCGATAGATCTTGCACATATAGCTAAGACACAACAGATAGATCTTGCACATATAGCTAAGACACAACAGATAGATCTTGCACATATAGCTAAGACACAACAGATAGATCTTGCACATATAGCTAAGACACAACAAGGTGGATCTTGCACATATAGCTAAGACACAACAGATAGATCTTGCACATATAGCTAAGACACAACAGATAGATCTTGCACATATAGCTAAGACACAACAAGGATAGATCTTACACATATATATCAGATAGATTACACATATAGCTAAGACACAACAGATAGATCTTGCACATATAGCTAAGACACAACAAGATAGATCTTGCACATATAGCTAAGACACAACAGATAGATCTTGCACATATAGCTAAGACACAACAGATAGATCTTGCACATATAGCTAAGACACAACAGATAGATCTTGCACATATAGCTAAGACACAACCGATAGATCTTGCACATATAGCTAAGACACAACCGATAGATCTAAGACATATAGCTAAGACACAAGATAGATCTTACACATATAGCTAAGACACAACAAGATAGATCTTACACATATAGCTAAGACACAACTTGATAGATCTAAGACACAACATATAGCTAAGACACAACAGATAGATCTTGCACATATAGCTAAGACACAACAGATAGATCTTGCACATATAGCTAAGACACAACAGATAGATCTTGCACATATAGCTAAGACACAACAGATAGATCTTGCACATATAGCTAAGACACAACAGATAGATCTTGCACATATAGCTAAGACACAACAGATAGATCTTGTCCATAAAGCTAGGATGACAGAAGTATGTTACATCAACAGCTATCCGACAAGACAGATATACACCAACAGGTAATCTTAACACAGTCAATAGCAGATCTGTTGGGCATCCTTTACACTTAAACTTAATTTCACTACATCTACATAATCATTGATCCAAGGATCATGTTAAAAGTTTTCAGTCAAAAACAAACCTTGCTAGAAATGATGACTGTTGATAGGTCAACTGCATTGCAAGTTCTCTGGTGACACATCGGGTACAGAGGACTGCCTCACGTCTGACGGGGAGACTGTACACCGTACAGTGTACAATCAAAACATTTAGTATTCATGGAGAACTTCTCCAGTCATGGAGGAACTAATGAGTTTCAGCCCCATAGACTGTTATTGTCCCATGTGATAACTATGCAGACAAGTGACAGGATAAGGTCACAGTCAGCAGGGGTGGACCAAGGATGTTAGAGAAGCGGGGTGCACATAGATCATGAAGTCCAAAGGTTAGGGGCAAATGCTCCTCAGGGTAAGTATGACCACAACTCACATATACACTAAGGCAAACAAGAAGCTGGTATACATGAATGTTCATTAACAAGACAAAGAAAAACAAAACTATCTGCTCTGAACATGGGACTCAACATCAGACAAAAGGATCGGTTGATTTCCATACATGCAGATCCAGGAGAATGGGGTGTAGTGTCTGGCTATTCAGAGATGCTATACTTTGGCCAAGTCATTTGTGACTTGAGTATTACATGCACACACTCTTTTTCATTATCCTGGATCTGCCTGACATGTTCCTTTTCTTCTGTCAATGAGTATAGGGTCTCAGTGTGTCACATGATCACAGCATGGTTTATCATATAACAGAGGTAAAAGACTTAAATGATATATGGATACATGATACATTAACCTTGAAAGTGAACAACCCCTTTTTTTGGCATCCTAGAAATTGGAACACACAATATTCATGCTTATGCTTATGTTTGTGCATGTGCATGTGGGTGTGCATGCATGCATGTATGTATGAATGAATGTATATATGCATGTACATGTATGCAGATGTTTCAGGTGATCATTTTGACATGGGATATGTTGGAATGTCACTTAGGCCATTTACAGTCAACATTTTGACAAACACTGAATCAGTAAAACAATTAGAAAATATCAACACTGACTTACGCATTATTTCTCCTGAGTGGACTTATGTTCAAAGTCTAACAAGCTCCATCTTCACAATGTGTACCAAATCTTGCATCTGACACCCCCAGCTGATCAGTTTGTGCTTGGCTTGTACTACTGACTTCAGTACTCAACTTATGCCCTGTAACTACCTCTGTCATGTGATGGGGCTTCAGCTCGATGATGGAGGTCAGCTTGGAATGGCTAGCTAGACTTCCAATCAGATCACAAGCATTGTGTTGACAGTCCCAGAACCATAGTTGAGGGATATCTTACACCCGAGGACTGTAACAGTAGATTTGTGCACAGCAAGCACCATGTATGTCAACAACAACCAATGAATCACAAACAACTCACACCACTCAACTCCTAAAGCAGGACTACTGAACAAATCGGATCAGTTAGTTTTGTCTGTATGTTCTTTAACTCTTCACTGAGCAATATTTAGGTTATATGATGGCAGCTGTTGAATGATCAAGTCAGGACGAGATAATCCAGTGGTTGATATTGTGAGCATCAATCCACTCCGAGGGTTATGATAATTCTCTATCAACCAAATCACAGAGAATGAGCACCATTTAGTTCAGCCTTACAACAGAAGTACAAGCGAAAGTTGCTGGGGCCTATACACGTGAGTGAGTTGGGATTTACACCACTTTTGGAAATATTCCAGAAAATATCATGGTAGGGGACACCAGAAATTGGCTTCATACCTGGTACCCATGTGGGGAATGAAACCCAAACCTTTGGCTTGACCAGCAAACGCTTCAGCTACTGGCTAGCCCACTGCTCTGGGGCCTTAAAACCCAGAATCCCAATTGGGTACTTAATGATCCACAATCACTCAAAGATGCCATCCACAGGTGACTTGCTCTTTGTGATTAACATCGACTATAACCCACAACATGCCCTTAAATTGCCCCAACATACAAAAAAAACAAATATACTTTTTCATGCCTAGTGTGTCTGTCTCATGCAGGAAAAGTGGAGAAAGAAAACTTGGAGATTTGAGCCACATTCTCGTCTGAGTGAGGTAATGCGTTAGTCACATTCTCAACTGACAAATGGAGGAACGGTATCTGTGTATGACTATGATTAAACAACTGATGGAATTGGAAGTTGTGGAGGAAAGTCAAGTTTCTGTAAGTAAAATAATGTCATTTTCATCTTAATGTGTACATCCAGAAGGATTGTATGGTATACATCTGTACATAATTAATGGGATATAACCAGGTACAAATGCCTCATTAACTAGGGGGAATGTGTCCTGGCTGACCAAAGTGTTCAAAGGTTCTTGTTCTGATGTCTATCTCCCCTCTAGCAGTGTAGGAAAGATGTAGAAAATCTAGCCTGTCCACAGGACTGGCAGGTCAAATTTTTACCAGTCCTGCCAAAATCTAGCCTGTCCTCCAAATATAAATAAAACACCTTCGGCAGTAAATATTCAAAAAGGTTATAATCATTATATATATGTCATTGGTTTGCTAAAATTGACCCGACATGAGGACGGACTAGATATTTTTTTAACCCGTCCTCCACAAAATTCACCCGTCTCGGACGTTGGGACGGGCTATCTTTCCTACACTGCCTCTAGGTCAGATTTTATTAGGACTCAGCTTACAAGATATGATGAGGCCTTGTTAAGCTTCTCTGACTAACTACTCATACTGAAGATTTCAATACTCAAAGATTAAATAACTTCAGCACATTGGTAATATAAGCTACAATGTCACTATGCTGAAAAATATATTAACTTATCACAGTCTGGTGATTATGCACAGGTCATGTGACTACTACAAGTCACATGACTGTCAGCACCAATCAGAAGGAATCTTGTCCTGCCAGATTTTGGATATGTTGAGCTGAGTTGACCAGGGTTATCAACATAATGGCTTGAGATGCAGCACTTAGGGGCAAATCTGCAAACAGTCAATATTAAGATCTGTCAAAATTCCTTAAAATAACTAATATAATAAAGATTTTCTCTGCTGTCATCTTGTAAATACATTCAGAAGTCCTCATTAATTGCATGTGTATTAATTAATGAAACGAAAGGGTTGTTCAACTCACCATGAACTCATTAGTAATGCCCTGTAGGGAGTAGTTCTTGGTCAGGTAGCACAGAACATAATGGCCAGCAGCCACACGCACTTGACTGGCAGGGAACTCCATCATCACCCCACGGTCGCCATGTTCCTCTGCCCCACCTTCAGCGTAGATGTAGCTCACATACTCATTGAAGCTCCGGAAGTCTGCCTGGAACCCCACAAACAACACATATTTAACACCTTCCATAACACCACGCACTTGACACCTTGTTAACACCAAGTGTATTAACCCTTCTGAAGATCAAGTGCTTAACACCTTCATGTCACAAGTGCTTAACACCTTCATGTCACAAGACCTTAACACCTTCATGTCACAAGTGCTTAACACCTTCATGTCACAAGACCTTAACACCTTCATGTCACCAAGTGCTTAACACCTTCATGTCACAAGAGCTTCACACCTTCATGTCACAAGAGCTTCACACCTTCATGTCACAAGACCTTAACACCTTCATGTCACAAGAGCTTAACACCTTAGCGTCACCAAGTGCTTAACACCTTTATGTCACCAAGTGCTTAACACCTTCATGTCACAAGAGCTTCACACCTTCATGTCGCCAAGTGCTTAACACCTTCATGTCACAAAAGTTTCACACCTTCATGTCACAAGAGCTTAACACCTTCATGTCACCAAGTGCTTAACACCTTCATGTCACAAATGCTTAACACCTTCATGTCACTAGAGCTTAACACCTTCATGTCACCAAATGCTTAACACCTTCATGTCACAAGAGCTTAACACCTTCATATCACAAGTGTTTAACACCTTCATTTCACCAAGTGCTTAACACCTTCATGTCACAAGAGCTTAACACCTTAATGTCACCAAGTGCTTAACACCTTCATGTCACAAGTGCTTAACACTTTCATGTCACAAGTGCTTAACACCTTCATGTCACAATTGCTTAACACCTTCATGTCACAAGAGCTTAACACCTTCATGTCACAAGAGCTTAACACCTTAGCGTCACCAAGTGCTTAACACCTTCATGTCACAAGAGCTTAACACCTTCATGTCACAAGAGCTTAACACCTTCATATCACCAAGTGCTTAACACCTTCATGTCACAAGAGCTTAACACCTTCATGTCACAAGAGCTTAACACCTTCATATCACAAGAGCTTAACACCTTCATGTCACCAAGTGCTAAACTTCAGGTCACAAGAGCATAACACCTTCATGTCACAAGAGCTTAACACCTTCATGTCACCAAGTGCTTAACACCTTCATGTCACAAGAGCTTAACACCTTCATGTCACAAGAGCTTAACACCTTCATGTCATCAAGTGCTAAACTTCAGGTCACAAGAGCTTAACACATTCATGTCACAAATGCTTAACCCTTACATGTCACAAGTGCTTAACACCATGTCACAAGACCTTATAACCTTCATGTCACACTGCTAAATACCTTCTTGTCACAAGTGCTTGACACCTACATGTCACCAAGATCTTAACACCATGTCACAAGAGTTTAACACCATCTTGTCACCATTTACAATTTAAAATTATGGATAATTATGTCTTAATCGCGAAAACAGTTTCTGTAAATCTCAGTTTCGGCCATTATGCATATTTCGCTGGAACCCATGTGACCTTTCCACTCGTGATGTCAAATGTGCCTGGAGTCCGCCATATTGCCAAAGACCAAGCGCTACAGTAGTACAAATCGTGTTGTTTCTGTCGTTTTTGTAAATGGTACGATGGTGTATTCTGTTGCCTGGGGATGCACGGAATCATCGAACAATGGAAAGCCACCATTTCTTCCGTTTTTCAAGTAAAGAGACAGACTTAGGCAGGAGAAATGCTCCGATCATTCCGAGTCGGACGCATATGAAAGATACAAGCACACATGAGACATACAAATCCCAAAGCTAGTCTGAAGAAGGAAGAATTACCCACAAGATTCATTTCTACTCCATCATTCCCTGTTACAGCTTACTGTCAGTGGTATTTTTAACATAAATTAAATCAAGTACGATTGCCAGTCGAATTGCCCCCGCTGGAAATTGCCCCATCAAATTTGGTCAAATTGCCCTGAAGTTTTGGTCAAATTGCCCCAGGGGGGTAGTTAAAATGCCCCAATTTATTTAAAATGATTAAATATAGGTCAAATAGTATTCTTGTTAAATGATATGGTACATTTTAAAATTTATTTTGAACTCAAGCGGTGCCTCCTTTTCGCTTGATTCTTCTTCTTCATCTTCACAAGATTGTCTTGCAAGATGTAACATCGGATCGTATTGATACGGTCTAACATCGGTTTCAGAAATGACATCAGGAACACCTTTTACTGCTTCAGAATCCATGGACACTGTTAAGTGGCGAGGTAATGCAGCCATCAGCAACAGGCACATATTATGTCATGTCATGTGATACCCCTGTGCTCATTAACTGTCAGGTGTTTCCATAAAAGGCGTAAATACGAGTACGTTTTTTGTGGTTTTATTGCTACTTTACAAACTTTTTGTTCAAATTTAATCACGGAAGGGGACTTTTAGAATATCCTTTACAATATATCAACAGTTTTGTTTGCGTTCAGATTCTCCTTTAATTTATCTTGTCACCATGTGCTTGACAGGTACCAAACACCACACACTTAACATTTGTTAACAACTCCCTGATACCAAGAGTTTAATACCTCCATTACATCAAGTGCTCAACAGTTCACTTACACCAGCATAGTTAAGGGTATCAATGGCTAAGATATTTGGGGAAGTCTACTACAACAATAGATAAGGGTTTTATTCACTAAGATATTCAAGGATGATCATGACAAAGTTAAGTAAGGATGCCAACAGGCAAGGTGAGGTGACATGGGCTCCATCACATTCAAGATCACTTCACTAGGCCAGACATGGGCACATACATGCAAGCTGATGGAGCATGTCTGATAGAGCTGGTTTACACTATACCCGAGCCTGATAGAGCTGGTTTACACTATACCCAAGTCTGATAGAGCTGGTTTACACTATACCCAAGTCTGATAGAGCTGGTTTACACTATACCCAAGTCTGATAGAGCTGGTTTACACTATACCCAAGTCTGATAGAGCTGGTTTACACTATACCCAAGTCTGATAGAGCTGGTTTTACACTATATCCAAGTCTGATAGAGCTGGTTTACACTATACCCAAGTCTGATAGAGCTGGTTTTACACTATACCCAAGTCTGATAGAGCTGGTTTACACTATATCCAAGTTTGATAGAGCTGGTTTACACTATATCCAAGTCTGAAGAGCTGGTTTTACACTATACCCAAGTCTGATAGAGCTGGTTTTACACTATACCCAAGTCTGATAGAGTTGGTTTTACACTATATCCAAGTCTGATAGAGCTGGTTTTACACTATATCCAAGTCTGATAGAGCTGGTTTTAAACTATACCCAAGTCTGATAGAGCTGTTTTTACACTATACCCAAGTCTGATAGAGCTGGTTTTACACTATACCCAACACTGTCCCCAGGCAGAAGCCTAGCACGCATACCCTACTTGACCCATCACACAGATACTGAGCCACTGGCACGGTAAGATAAAGAACACGTACCATCTCTTAACATCTATGACATGATACTACCAGACCTCAGAACTGTGTTCAGCCATGAGAGTTTACGTAGTTGACAAGACTCCAACCAACCTTGTACAGGCCGATCCAGTCTGTGGAGAAGGACTTGGCCTTCATGGTGTAGGTCAGAGTGCTGGCCTGGGACATGTACCACTTGAGGATCATATGGAACTTCACAGGGGACGGAGGCGGCTTGCCAAAAACCTGGAAGTAGAGATCATGGAAATACTGAGCATTTCCAGTATATCAGACAATGATGTGACCTACTGTATATCATCCAATGATGTGGCCTACTGTATATCAGTCAATGATGTGACCTACTGTATATACATCAGCGATGTGACCTACTGTATATCAGTCAATGATGTGACCTACTGTATATACATCAGCGATGTGACCTATTGTATATCCATCAGGGATGTGACCTATTGTATATCAGTCAATGATGTGACCTACTGTATATATATCAGCGATGTGACCTATTGTATATCCATCAGTAGTGTGATCTACCTGTATGTCCACCTGTGATGTGACCTACCTGTATGTCCACTTGTGATGTGACCTACCTGTATGTCCACTTGTGATGTCACCTACCTGTACATCCATCAGCGATGTGACCTACTGTATATCAGTCAATGATGTGACCTACCTGTATGTCAACATATGATGTCACCTACCTGTATGTCCACATATGATGTCACCTACCTGTATGTCCACATATGATGTCACCTACCTGTATGTCCACATATGATGTCACCTACCTGTATGTCCACATATGATGTCACCTACCTGTATGTCCACATATGATGTCACCTACCTGTATGTCCACATATGATGTCACCTACCTGTATGTCAACATATGATGTCACCTACCTGTATGTCCACATGATGTCACCTACCTGTATGTCACCTACCCACATGTCCACATAATGTCACCTACCTGTATGTCCACATATGATGTCACCTACCTGTATGTCCACATATGATGTCACCTACCTGTATGTCAACATATGATGTCACCTACCTGTATGTCCACATATGTCACCTACCTGTATGTCCACATATAATGTCACCTACCTGTATGTCCACATATGATGTCACCTACCTGTATGTCCACATATAATGTCACCTACCTGTATGTCCACATATGATGTCACCTACCTGTATTCACCTACCTGTTTGTCCACATATGATGTCACCTACCTGTATGTCCACATATGTCACCTACCTGTATGTCCACATATAATGTCACCTACCTGTATGTCCACATATGATGTGACCTACCTGTATGTCCACCTGAGATGTGACAGGCTTGTGGTCACTGATCCTGTACTTAGGGTGACTCCTATAGTCCAGCTGCTTGACATCAAGGCTGACAGTTCCATAACTCTCATGGTAGGAGTGCCACAGGATGCGGTCACACCAGGCTGGGACACGCTTCTTCTTACTGGTCGTACAACAGACATGAATACCCACATATAAGTGTCCACAGAGAGACAGAGAGAGAGTGAAGGAATAGGACAGAATGTCAGCTATATCCTGTTTACCCCATGCCCACAACATATGCACAACATGAGGCCACGGTGAAAAGTCAGTGAATTCTATAGTTTATTCCATGCAGTAACCTTGACAAGGCCTGGATACAAAAAATGTCATCTTGCCATACCTGTGATGACAATACTATCAAGCCAGGGCCAATATAAACCAGAGCCTCCTTCCACAAAGCAGAAAGGTGATCGTAAGTCACTAAGGTAACCTTAGTGCAATGTTAAAGAATGGGGGTTAAGGTTAACCTTAGTAAAGGTTGCTTCGTGAAAGGAGCCCCAGGCCACTAACAACACAACTATCAGCGAAGGAACATTTGGCTGCTTCACCTCGTGTCATACGTGTCGGTCCCCTTGTCAAACTTGTAGGTGGGGGGAAATGTAATCCTGCCTTCTTGAAAGTCTTCATAGATCAGTCCCTCTTCCTTACACTGTTTTAGCTAAAAGGAAAGCAGTTATAATCAGGTGAGGTGAGGTGGGTTTAACATCGTGCTTGAGAATATTTCGCTCATATGACAATGTAAATGCATGTGTATGTGTATGTGCGGCTGCTTGTACTAGCCCAGACTTAAGCTGGTTTTATAGTGCTAGCCCACTGAGATACCACGCCTCAGTGAAGCATGAATACCCACTCAGACACATTATACTGACTCCGAGCTGACCAGTCCTTGTTGTACCCATTAATGCTGAGCGCCAGGCAGGGACCAACAAGTACCATATTTTAACGTCTTTTGGTCTGACTTGGTCGGGGATCGAACCCGCGACCTTCCGCTCTCCGGGGGTTGCTCTAACCACTACACCACGGAGGCGGTCAGTTATAATCAGACAACCATAAGTTCGATATATCAAACCTCAACACAACAGCTTTTGACTGCAGGAACACAACTGAAATTGGCGTTTTAAAACAAGGTCATATTTTTTTTCGATTTCCTTTTTACAAATTTATTGTTAAAATTGTGAAAGAAAGAACCAAAATATAATAAACAACACATTATGTATTTATCTTTACTTTACATAATGTTGACACACATACAGTTCTCGGTAGTCTGTTCTATGCACATAACAAGTGTGTATTTAACAGAATAATTAATATTATATGGGGGGTGTCAATGTTTCACTTTCACAGGGTGGGATGATCTAAACATCATTTGACTTGTTAGTAACTAATATATTTTGCCTGTAAAATATTGTGAGTAGTCTTCCTGTTGTCTCATGTGCATTTCAATGTATGTTATACATTTTCTATATTCAAATAAACTTCTGCTTTAGACACTAGTTCAGTACATTTGTTTCTAGTTCAGCAGATAATACACTGACGTGCAAAAGAAACTTTCTCTTACCAAACTTGACATATTTTTGACATAATAGGAAAATAATCAGGTGCGTGTTTACCTGTCGGCACCGTATAAAACAGCAGTTTGTATTTTGAGAACGAGTCCGACCAAACGCACCTAAAGTCAACTTTTGTAAGGAGATTTGCCAAAATTACGTGTTGAGCAATAAAGGCAAAAACCACGTGTGGAAAGGGTATAAAACCATTGCATGCGACAGGTGGGCATGTGACATTACAGAAAACCACAAAAAAAATGCCATGTTTAAGTTCAGCAGAAAGAGAGGGCTACAGGAATGCTACAGTTGCTCCGTAGTTACTGTCAGGAACCTTCGCCAATGCTTCAATCAGACTGGTCAGACATCAGACGGGCCACGAACAGGCAGACCCTGGATAACAACAGCAGCGGAGGACCGACATCTGAGAACGTTGCATTTGTGGAACTGCTTCCTGACGGTGATGGCATCTTCGGTAACGGCACTCGGTCACCCCGTGAATCGGTGGACAGTAACAAGAAGACTTCGTGCCCATGGTATCAGATGTTATTGACCATACCTAGGTACGCTGGTAACGGATAGACATCGCGAATTGAGACTACATGTATGCTAGGCCAGACAGGTCAGACGTTGGCAGCTACATGACTGGCGTAGGGTACTGTTTTCTGACGAAAGCAGATTCTATCTATTGAGGCCTGATGGCACAGTTAGAGTGTACAGGAGGAGAGGTGAAAGAACAGCTCGTTGTTGTGTACAGGAGTTGGAGCCGTATGGTGGCGCTAGCGTCATGGTCTTGGGTGGCATATGCGGTGACCAGAGGACGGACCTTGTTGTCGTCAACGGTAATCTGACTGCACAACGGTATATCAATGAGGTGCTGAGGCCCAAGGTCCTGCCATTTATACAGCAACAGCCACAGGGAGTCGTATTCCAACACGACAATGTTCACCCACACGTTGTTAGGATTGTACAGAACTTTCTGAACGCCAACAATGTCAAGGTTTTGCCATGGCCAGCTCGTTCCCCTGACTTGTCACCTATCGAACATTTGTGGGATCAACTCAATAGACAGATTCGGGGAACACTGAATCCTCCAATTACAAGACAGGAGCTGGCACAAGCCCTCGTCGAAGAATGGAGGCATATCCCTGCTGACGTCATCAGACGCTTGACCACTTCAGTCAGATATGTTAATTCATGCATCCAGGCCAGGGGTGGACATACTCGTTATTAGAGACTTCACTTTTCACATTCATTCGGTTTCCAGTGTTGTTATCGTTAGGGAAATCTCGTATTTTCACCCCATGTGTACATTTTCATGTGTTATGGCAGAATATTTTGTTTTGATTTCAAAGTTTTCTGTTTAACACGTGTGTAAATGATTTGTTAAAAGAGTAAACCATTTACTTTTCACTTCGTTGTTGTTGCTTTTGAATATAATCAATTTCAAAGAAGAGAAAGTTTCCTTTGCATGTCAGTTTAGTTCAGATGTTACCACTTAAATCCACTGACAATACTGTCAAATGACAGGTTCAGGCTTGTTAACTTGAGCTACCTGGTCATATGTGAGCAGTTTTGTTAGATTTCCTTTCTCAATGTGACGTATGGCTTCTTCGTAGGTTAAATCTTCAAGGCGGAAATTGAGGTCTCCCATCCAGAAAACATAGCTACAAGAAAAGAAACATGGTAAAGACAGGGAACAGTACTTCAGCGACATCATGGTGTGGCAGCCTAATGGGGACAGAGAGTGAAACAAGCTGCAGAAGGTAACAACTTGAGTAAATCCACAAGTACTGATATGATTCGGACTAAGAATCCTGATCAAGGCAAATCTGGGATGTGAGCACTTGGATCAGCAGATCCTTGCCAGACTAAGAGGCAGAACTGAGGCACTTGAACAGGCATGAAACACTGGGTCAGCAGGATGCTGAAACACATCACTTACTCATGGTCTAGAATGTTGTCCACATCTTCATCCTTGAACTTCTGATTATCCAGGATGCTGTCAAAGTCCTGGAAGGCAGCAGCAAAAACTCAGCTCTAATACTCACTAAACAGACAGTGTGTACTCAATAGATTACGGTATAATGGTAAAGATTATCATTTGAGATTTAACATTTGAAGTCTATTCTGTGAACGGTCATTTGTTTGTGTTGTCATGGTAACTCACAATAATTCTCTCCTGAATTTTTTCCCTGTGAGCAGCAAGATGGCAATTAACAATGATGAGATTCATCCCGAACAGGTCCAGCCGCACGCTGGCACCTCCCTTGTTGCCCTGAAACATTGTAATGTCAACATATGATAATAATGTACAGGTTTACAATGTAAATGTGTGTTGGTATGGTTTCATCATAGTAAGTATAAGAAAGGGTTCCACTTTTTGATATGTAACCATGCTCTGGAGAATTACTTGGCTGTGATGTGGCTTTCCATGGTGCTCATGCCAGACTTTATTGTTAACATACTGTTATCACAGTGCTAAATCAGGATTGAATACTGCTGACTTCAGTCATCAGAAGATGATGGCCCCCGCATATTTGAAAGAACAAATTATCTGACAGTTACTTAAAGTCCAGCTCGATATTTTTTTAGACTAAGTCCAAATCGTTTCCATGGAAATCATAAACAAGAGTCATCAGAAGATGACATATCCCCCCTGCCCCCACATCTTTGAAAGAACAAATCATCTGACAGTTACTTAAAGTCCAGCTTGATTTTAGACTAAGTGCAAATCGTTTCCATGGAAATCATGAAAAAAATAAATGACAAAAATCTGCAAATAGCAAAAGGCACCACTTCAAGGTCTGCCTCACATATCTGCCAAGTTTTGCTGAAAGATATTTAGAAGGTTTCCAGTTGTGCTCCGGAAACGAAACCTACCCCGCCCTTTTGAGACTAAGTCCGAATCGTTTCCATGGAAACCGAGAAAAATAAAAATGACAAAAATCTCTAAATAGCAAAAGGCACCACTTTGGGATCTGCCTCATATATCTGAAAAATATCGAACGGTCTTTGAGTTATGCTCCGGAAACAAAATGATTACGGACGGACGGACGGACGGACAGACGGACGAGGCGACGACTATATCCCACTGCATTACATGCCGGTGGGATAAAAATAAAAACAAGGAGACAAAGTCATCAATATCCCCCGCAATGGCAAAATACTCTTCATGATTATGTCTACGAGTAATGATTATGTCAAATATTTAGCTGTGTATATAGAAAAATTGGAAGGAGAGTATTGAAAGGTTTTTACAGTTCAGGGCCTCGTTCCTCAAAGCGATTGCAGCGCTACGACAGTCATAAGTCTATGTTAAAGTATGGGAGTTATGATCATCTTAGCGATACGATCGTTGTGAGGAACGGGGCCCTGCTCCAGAAAGGAGCACTATCACCAATTTCAGTCTATGTCAAACTTCTTGCCATGTAAATGCCAAAAATGTTTTATTCAGAATTCCAAAACTACCAAAAGGCACCAGTACACCACCAGACCAATCTATGTGCCAAGTTTGGAGAAGAAATAGTGAACGGTTTTAGAGTTCTGCTCCGGAAAAGAGCACTACCACCAATTTCAGTCTAAGTCAAACTTGTTGCCATGGAAACGCCAAAAATATTTTATTATCCAAAACTCAGAATTCCAGAAATCTACCAAGTTTGGAGAAGAAATAGTGAAAGAGTTCACCAGCACTACCACCACAAGTCTAAGTCAAACATGGACAAAAATTCTTTATTCAATCCAAAACTACCAAAAGGTGTACACAACCAGACCAATCTATTGCCAAGGAGAAGAAATAGTTAACGGTTTTAGAGTTCAGCTCCGGAAAAGAGCACTACCACCAATTTCAGGCTACGTCAAACTTGTTGCCATGGAAATGCCAAAAATATTTTATTCAGAATTCCAAAACAACCAAAAGGCACCAGTACACCACCAGATCTATCTATGTGCCAAGTTTGGTGAAGAAATAGCGAATGGTTTTAGAGTTCTGCTCCGGAAAAGAGCACTACCACTAATTTCATTCTAAGTTGAACTTGTTGCCATGGAAACGCCAAACATGTTTTATTCAGAATTCCAAAACTACCAAAAGGCACCAGTACATCACCAGATCTATCTATGTGCCAAGTTTGGTGAAGAAATATTGAACGGTTTTAGAGTTCTGCTCCGGAAAACACAAATGTGCACGGCCGGCCGGCCGGAGTCCATTTTAAAACGCGTTGAGGGGGATAATGACAAAAATTTATACAAACCTGTAGAGGTTATGAATTCTTTGAAGAAAGTCCTCCTTGGGGGACATATAAGCATTAAAATGTCAATTTTAAATCCTACGACAGTTGTAACTATATTTTTCAATAAAATATTTACAAAACAAAAAACTCGTTTTGTCTAGTGAGACCACCCCTACAGGGCCCCACCGGACCCCCTACAGCCAAGAGCAGGTAACTCTCGCTGTCTACCTCGTATCTCACTTTTCATGCTGAACGTATCAGACAGAATGAGGGGAGGCGGGTGGCTGTACCCCAAGGAGGACTTTCTTCAAAGAATTCATAACCTCTACAGGTTTGTATAATTCTTTTTCAGAAGAAGTCCTCCTTGGGGTAGGGGCCGTGGGGTAGCCTAATGGTTAAAGTGTTGGCTCGTCACGCCGAAGACCCGGGTTCGAATCCCCACATGGGCACAATGCGTGAAGCCCATTTCTGGTGTCCCCCGCCGTGATGTTGCTGGAATATTGCTAAAAGCGGCGTAAAACCAAACTCAGTCAGTCAGTCAGTCAGTCCTTGGGGTACATATAAGCATAAGACAGACTCCCAAAGATATTTGTGAAGGGAATGTCTGGCAACAACTAAACCCGTGGTGGAGTGAAATCTACAACCGATACGGAAATAGAAAAAAACACACTTACCGAGCCACCTGACCGCTGATGTCAATCAGACAGGGGCATGGCTAGGGCAGGAAAGAGAGAGCCCAAGCTTATACGTCAGTTGGCTCAAATCAATTATGACATAAAACCCCACCCCCAACCATTACAATGGAAAGGAATGTATGGGGACATGCCGAAACAACTCCCAACCTTAATATAGCCCCAGCCAGAGATGTGTGGCAAGAGGTATAGGGAAGGGAAAGCGTAAAAAACGCTTAAAAGCCAATAACCCAGGAGTCGAGCTAATAAGTACTGCAAACTAATGCTCAAATGCACCTCTCCTGTTTGGAAGAGGGCTTGCCGGGACCTCGATAAAACCCAGAGAATTTATTAGCCTTGCTAAAGACTTAATGAGGACATCGAACGAGTACAAACGCCATGCATTGTACGAGTGAAAAGCAGGATAAAACACCCCCACCAAATGCTCTCGGTGTGAAGAAGGGTAAGTGTAAACCACCATCACCCAATGTGCTGATTAACACAGACTCCCAAATACCGAAGTCTTGGGAAGAGGGAAAAAACTGTTAGCGTACACAAATCCCCTGAATAGCGAAAAGCGTAGCCGAACATGTGTTGGCTCACTATTACACTAACCTGGTCATGTGACATGTGGCTCGAAAAGAGGCATACCAAACAGTGACCCGTGGGGGGTTCGTACCCAATTCCATCGCAAGACGGGTTAATAGCATATGACTGGTTATATTGTTCAAAACCGGCCCCGCCCTCTCTTGCCTTTAGGTGAAGAGGACGTAAGGGACACCCAAACCCGACCCAACCCTAAAGGATAGTAAGGCTAATACGATGTAGTGATATGAAATATATCGACATTGAACACAGAACCGATACCAATGACCAGTTACTAACTTGGTCAGGGTGGCAGGACACTCTCCACTGGAGAGAACCAAAAGACCGAACCGTGCACGATCCTTAGAATGCGTGTCAAGTCGGTAATGGCGAATGAAGGCGTTCTGCCGGCTCCAAAGAGCGACAGAACCGATCTCTTCATTGAGCAGTGCCGCTGTGTATTGTCAACAAAGCGGCATCTGCCCTACCCAGTCTCCCTTCAACCCTGAGGTAAACCTTAGCATTGTAACCGAACAATTACGGAAACAAGCCAATGAGATAAAGTCCGCTTGCTAGCAGACTCTCCAGTCTTCCCGCCACCAAACAGAACACATGGGTACCCGTACGGATCCCTTTCATTCGTTCATTATACTCACTCCAACGGGTGAGAAATCGAAAGATCGGTCCCCGGTGTGGAAGGCTGGGTAAGGGGTGGAAGTTCCATATGAGCAGTCACGTGGAAAGCAATATCGAACTGAGAGTGGTAGGTATCCGGGAGGCGAATACGGACATGATCAGTATAAAATACTGTCAGTGTGGGATCAGTGGGTATCGCATGGATGTACCCAACCCTTTTACCAGAGCTCACCACCACAAGTAACGCCGTCTTCCACGTCAACAAGTGAAGTGAGAGAGACAATATACTTGAAAAGTCAGGGCCAGACAGCCAATTGAGAATAATTGGCAATTTCAAGGTGGGCTGCGTCACCGCCAAGGCGGTTGAACCCTGTTCATGCCAGCGAGAAGTGCTGTACGAGAGGGTGCTGCCTAGGCAGAGCACCATCGAACGAGGTGTGAAACGTGGAAATAGCCATGGAGTACCCGGGAATGGTGGAGGGCATAAGCCTCTCAACCAAAACGAGGTTATAGTAACTCCAATATCCGAACACAATCCGCAGAATAGGGATTCTGAAATCCCCTTATCTGCACGCCAGTGCGCCTCACCGATCAACACACTGAACGGGTGTCGAATTCCGCCTCGAAGCCAGAATTGTGTCTGCAACAGCTGCAGGAATTCTGCGTGTCTGGGGGTTAGACCCGACAGAGGCCAAGCCACCCAGAGAATCCAAGGATTCGGACCGAAAAGGCCATTCGAATCCCGGCATGCGGGATCGAACACCAACCTGACTGCTGTCAATTCCAGCACATTGATGTGCAGGTTGTAACTTCGGTAGGGATGTATCTGGCTGGACTGAGAGCGACGGTGTCTCCAGGGGGAGTCCCTCGGAGAGACGCCTGACGTCTGTCCATCTGACTGTGTGAGGTTGACAATTCAGCACAGTTTCGTAAGAGTGACCAGACTCAACTGTTATTCTAAAACTCTGATGAGCCAGTCGCCTTGGTACGGGTGACAACACCGGCACTAGCTGCGATCTGGCTATCTGGGCTGTAATAAACCTCAATTTGGTGAACACCCTTGGCGCCATAATGTAGCCTAAGGGGAGCACACGAAACTGGTAGCACGTCGAAGAAGAACCGAAGGTAAATCTTGAAATCAGGGTGCAATAGACAAG